GAAACATACTTTCTATTTGGGGGTCTCATCATTTTGTCATTTTTTTCTTAAACAAGTAGATTTAGACAATCTATTTAGGAACCATTTTAACTAAGCCTTAAAATAGATATGTATTATAACAAAATTTAGTTTTCATTTAACTAAATAAAAATTAAGTTAATTTATTTTTATCATGATATTAATCAAGTTAACAAATAATGACGTCGATCATATTAATTATTGCTCGTTCACTTATCTGAATGAAATTCTTGAGAAAATATCTAACATGATCCTATGTTTCTTCATGGCAGATAATGGCAAGTGCAACATAACGCATACCCAGTGGCAACGAATCAAAAGATATTTCATATTTAGTACCAACAATATTGTAATTGGTCATCGCGAGCGAATGACATGGCAAAGTTGAACAACACCGAGACAACGTCTATTTGAATCTTTTTCATAACTTTGCATGTTTCAATAAGATTGGTGCCAAATAAGAAAATTCTATGTTCTGATATAGTACATTAAGTAAACGTTATTTTAACATTCAAAATATCTTTTTAAAAATATATTTTGTTTGAAAATATGACGCGTTGTCAAGACCTATTTTGTCATTTGAATAAATAGTCCTTATTTAATATGTACGCGAATTAAATGAAACTGTTTAATGTAACTAAAGGTCTGGGAAATAATTTCTATAGTCTGCATAGTTTGCCTTTCTCTGGAATCCAGTAACAAAAGTTTGTATTGGAATAGAAAAAGAACAAAATGAGAAAGTTTTTTATTTCGTATGAAAAATCGGTTAATGCACGAACTTAAAATCTAGCTGGCCCAGAATAAATGATATAGAATGAACCAAAATGTTTTAGAACGGTTTCATTTGTCTGATGGCAAACGTCACAAACACTTGAGCCTCCCTAGAAAATAATTTTATGTTAGTGAAATTGAAATGGCGCAGCCAAAAGCCCCTAAAATGTCAAAGTAAAAGCTAATCCATAATATCAATAACACATGCATTTACATTTAATTTATTGCTTTTGAATTGCATGCATGCATCCATAAAGGGATAACCGCAAATTATTTGCTTCAAACTGTTCTAAGCATAGGAATATTTCTTTTTAACAATTATTTAACCGTTTTCTCTCACTCTATACATTTATACACATTCTTGAAATACTTTAATATGTTTATGAAGCAAAACTTTTCATCCTCATATTTATCTATTTCAAAGTTTTAAATTGTCCATTTTAAAACAAATGAAAGAAAAAGGTATTTCAAACATAGCAGTTAAGTCATTCGTAGACTGCCGGTCAATCAACACAAAGTTCTCTTTTGATAATAATTTGTATTTTACAGACAATAACCATTCAATTTATACTTTCTGAGCCTATTTATTAAAAGTTAAACAATTATGTTTTGGATTTATTTATTTGTAATAATTTCGAAAAAATCTTTGCAATCTTGATATACATATGTGCAAGTTGAAATAATAATTCAGATTGACATGCACATTAAACTTGACAGATTTGTTTTATCTATAGTTGTGTAACAGCATGTTGCTCATTATAACTGCAGCTACAAATATTTTATTGCATTAAAACAACATGATTGTTCTATTAAAAGCATCGCTTCAAGTACTCTATTATCTAACTGTTTAACAGCATGTTGCTCATTATAACTGCAGCTACAAATATTTTATTGCATTAAAACAACATGATTGTTCTATTACAAGCATCGCTTCAAGTACTCTATTATCTAATTTTATGCGCTTACACCACAGACAATCCTTTGAATTACTTATTGATCACTAACAGCGAAACTCTTTTTACGGAGTCATCATAAGGAAATCAATGTATTAAAATCAACAAGATTTCTTCACAATTTCATATAATTATATCAAATACAAACATAAAAACAAATATACTTTTTAACTCCTACGTAGGACTTCATATTTCCTAAGTAGCAGATAAAAAAGCCTAATTAGGAGTTTATATCTCTTATGTAGGAATTTATAAGTCCTACATAGGAATTAATATTAACCCCTACGTATGACTTTAAAAGGAGATTAAAAAGCCTAAATAAGTGTTTATAAATCCTTCGTAGGAGATAAAAAAATGCAAACACGAAATAGTTAATGCAAGTCTGTAATATTTATTATCAACTCTGCTATTCTTTTTTCCTGAATAAGTCAATTTTAGTTTACCGAACAGTGTTTCTCACAGAGTGCGGTTTACCTGTTCACCGGCCGATATACAAAGTAGCAAATTACGATTCTTCCTAAAGACAACAGATAATATCATCCAATTTTGAATTTACAAAAATTAATCCCGTTTCATCGGCTGTTTCAGATTTTTTTTTTATTATTATTATTGTGAAGTGCAATACAAGTAGTATAAAGAAATATTATCGACTTTATCAAAATAACTTTGTGTGGTAAAATTCAAGAGAATAAAAATAGAGATTATTGATTATATGTATTGATAATGTGATAAATTGTGTAAAATTATAAAGAATGAGTGAATTATGGTAACTTAACTTATTTTTAATTAAGAATATTTAAATCAATTAGTAATAAAACACTTATAAATTAACGCTAATTATAGTTTTTAATTCAAAGTGATGTGATAAGACACAAACTTCCAAAATGACTAATAATAACTTCAAACAGACAAAAATAGATTAGCATGATAAATTTTGCATGAAATCACGCACTTACATAAATGCATCAAGTTCTATTTTAGGGGTAGGTCTATATAAAATGGAATACCCGAAACGACAACTTGCAAAACATTACAGGCTCGATTAGATGACAAAGAATGGCATCGTTAAAATAATATACTGTCCATAGCCCTAGCATCAGCTTTAGATCTGTAGAACAAAGGATTTAAACATGAAATAAGAACAAGTTTGTCGAAATGATGAGCGATAAACGGAGACTGTGTATCACAGACAGATGCTAAATCAGGCAAAATGTCTTAAGGGTTATTAAAAAATGATGTTACTCAAAAAGCCACAAACCAAAGAATCTATCTAACTTTTACATCTTTATACTTGGTTCTATACAATAATACATTACCTCAGTTCATGTAGCCGGTAAAGCAAATGCACTCGGAACTGCCAAAAATGGCTAATACAATAGCTAATGAAAGTACAAATATTGTTATTTCATCTTTAAGGACGATTGAGATAAAAAAAACATGATAAATGAGTAAGGTCTAAAGGTTTACATAATACAAATTAATTTTTTTTGCACACGTCAGATATATCGACTCACTTATGGATTTTGTGGGATTGATTACAAAATTACAAGGCACGCGAGTTAAGATTCCGCATACATGCATATTAAAGTAACAAAATTATCTAGTTATGCCACACTTGAAAATATGAAATGTTAACATAAATGTAATTACAAACAAACAGTGTGCTTGGAAACTGAGTGTAGGTTAAACATATTTGGCTTCTTCATATTCTATCAAATTATTAATAATAATAGGTATTGTTATTGTTGCATAATGAAAAGCTTAAATATAACACGAAATGTATTGAACTCATTTTAATTGTTTAATATTTTCGGTATTATATTAACACAACTCAAGCATAACTGTAACTTGTGTGTTTTATATATGTTCTGCTCTTTGCATGCACTTTGAAAACAAGTGCATACAATCATCCTTTATTGAAGCTTTTTTATATTCATTTTTCTTGTTTATTTGTTTGGAATTTAGTTATTTACTTTCTGAAGTATTCAATATTGATGAAGTGTAAAGCGCCATTTTATAAACCGAATGATTTTCAATGAATTATGACAATATTCTCGAACATATGAAGTAGGAATATTATTTATATATAATATTTTCAATGAAGATGTTTTATTAACAAATGTAATTAAAATAAGGCGTAACACAACTAGAAAATCGATCGGTATCCGTTGCAATGTAAGGCGAGGCATTCTTTTCCTGTACATCTGGTATAATGTAATTAAATTTGTCAGCAACAAAGTCAAGATGTAATTGAATAAACTCGGTAAGCAGGTAGTATTTGTAATTATTTGAATGAAAAGGTCCTGCGATTTATTAAGAAAAGAAAGGTCATTTACAAGTATGAAATTGATTAACTTTATCATTGTTCAACATTTTGTAGGTTATTTGATTGATACTTATCAAGGTTTTTTTTTTACATATTATACTAGATTTTCCCAATGGCAAATGCGACCATAATTGTTCATACTATACACAAGTAAAATGTATTTACCAGAAACATAAATCAATCTCTTTTTAAAGTTCATAAAGAAACAAGAACGTAAAATAATCGCTAGGTTTCTTTCTGTGCAATCAAATTGATGTTTTACACAATCCTTTAATGTAAATAACGCCTATGTTATTATCCTGAAGAAAAACAAAATAAACCATTGTGCGTTTGTATAAAGGATATAAATCTGCAAAATGATGTTCGTCCAACTTTTGAACCAAGAATTTTGTTTTTAATTTTTAATCATAACACACCTTATTTCTCTGGTGTTTTTTTTTTTTTTTTTTCAAAATGTTAATCTGATTGTCTGAAATCCTATAGAAATGCCTGGGACAAAATCTACTCATTTTACCTCAGTTCTGTTTGACTGCAGAAAAGTATTGCCCTTATGGGAACAATGATATTGTTGTGAGAACTATCGTTAATATTTTCATATACGATAACAAACATCTAATAAACTTTCTTTATTTTTATTGTTTTTACGGATAGACTAATAGTCTCCAAAGAAAATAGTTTACTTTATTTTATGCTTTTCGGTAGATTACTGAGATTTCTGTGAAAATTATGTTTGGTAATTTCACTGTGAAAAATATCAAATATAATTCCATTCTTTTTCAAGAAGAACTACTTTCAATATACCCCCCCCCTTGAATGCCTCAAATGTACTAAAAACTTACTTCCCTTTGACCAAATTTAGAGTTACTTCCCCTACATTGTTTATATAGCAACATACATGTATAATTTTGACAGTTCGTCTGCAAATCAATAAAATGGCTGAATCAAAAATAGATCCAGACATTTTGTCAGAAATAACTGATAATTTTTATGACAAAGAGCCCTTTGGTGATTTTCAACTGGTGCAATCAAATGAGAGATTATTCAGAGAAGTAGACCCTGATAATTTCTTGGAAATTAATGAGAATATCAATACTAAAAAGAAGACCATGTATGACATGAAACTTATTAATGCCTTCCTTATGTCAAAAAATGAAACAAGACTGATACAGTTTATACCTCCTGATCAATTAAACAGCCATCTCTGTAATTTCATCCTGGCAGTTACCAAAAATGATGGTTCCGAGTATGAACCCACTACCCTTCGAGGGTTCTTAGGATCAGTTGATAGACATTTACGGAGTGTTGATAGCCCTGTGTCAATCTTTCGGGATAAAGAATTCTCTAAAACAAGAGCAGTCTTAAAAAGGAAACAACAAGAGTTAAAAAAGATTGGACTAGGAAATAAGCCAAAAGCAGCAGAAACGCTGGATGAATGGATGATTGCGAAAATGCATGAAGCCGGAACACTTGGAACAAAAAATCCACGAGCTCTTCTCCACTCCATGTGGTTTATATGTACCACATACTTCGGTATGAGAACCGGTAAAGAAATCCATCAACTTTGCTGGGGTGATGTAAAACTCAGTTTGGATGAAGTCAGTGGCACTGAATACATAATCCTCGACACAGAAAGACAAACCAAGACCAGAACTGGGGAAAATCCCAGAAATATACGGTTAGTCAAATTTCTTGTTCAGTTAAAAAAATAAAACTTAAGCACTATATATTGTCAGTTTAAATCATTGATCAAGCTGACAAACATGTATTCATTAAAAAAAATTTGATCTATATATAAACAGGAGGAGTATTCTTTATTTTTTCTTTAATATTTTGACCAGTAATGCAGCAATGAGAAATAATAATAAAACAGCTTGTGTCCAAGGTTAAATCATTTTCCATCAAACAAATAATCTATTAAATTTAGACTTTTTACTGGTCTTCAGCCATTCTGCATAACATCATGCTTTCTTCTTCATGATGATGTGCCAGTGATGTCATCAAAACATGACAAAACATTGTTGTTTTTTTAATTTGGTACTGTAATACAGTAGATTCTGGTTTTAAAGATCCTGTATGTTTTGTGATTGATATTGTTACTGTGTGAATACCACACTTGCAAAAAGTTATATATGTATATAATTATGCAAATAAAACAATTTTCAAACATCAAAGAATATGTAAAATGTGTACTGCAAATATTTGTGCACATTATATTTAATCAATAAATTACATGCATTCATTTCTTATTGGAAAATTTGACTTAGAATTTATAGAAAACAAATTTCTAATTACCTCCCTTTATTTACATGAAATGTTAAATTGGGTAATATCTTTATAAATAATGCTTTTTGGAACTTACAATATTGACAAATCTTAATTTGAGCATCATTTTTATGAAATAAAACCATGAAAAAAATGTGTTACAGGATCTTTAAATTTTACAAGATGTTGGTAAAGCAAAATGTCCATTATTCTTTGTATCGGCAATTTAAAAAAGTTCTAAGAGACTATCAAAAAGTTGATAAAAGTGTTAATTCTTTCCTGTTTTTTTTTCACCAATATTCAGGGCTGTGAAACCAAGGGCTTATGAAAACCAAGAGAATCCAGAGAGCAATCCTGTATATATTTACAAGGTTTTCGCTTCTAAAAGGCCAGTTGAGATGTGCACTGATGACAGTCCATTTTTCTTAACACCTGGAACTAAGGCTACTAAATGTTGGTTTAAGAAGTGTGCCATGGGTATCAACTCCATATACAATATCATGAATGAAATGAAAAAAGATGCAGGAATTGATAACCCTAGAATCACACCATACAGGTATGTAACAGTCTTACAGGTAAAACAAACCAATTGGTTTAGAAAATATTAAATGAGTGTAGATTTACTACTGACTTTAATGAACAAATTGAAAAAAAAAATATATTAGGCTAGGGCCGCTAGCCTCTGGCAAGCATAATAAATTTTTTTATTTATTCAACAAGTTAAATAAATTCAGTAGTGAACCAGCACAAAAATGATATTCTATTTATTACATACCTTAAATAAGAACAGTTAAACAGAGTGATATTGTTTTTACTTAGTCACACAATTGCCACACTTTGAGATGCATGTAAAGTGGTTTCTTCATTTCGAAGTGTTATGTTGTGGCTCTCCTTAGTGATGGCACAAAATCATGATATCATAATGTCAACAATGAAAAAAGTTCATTTCTGTTGAATTCATATAAAGTTTGGCTACAGTGAAAGTATATTTGATTTATTCTTGCATATAACACAGGATTATCTACCGTTTACACCGGTGCTAGAAAAACCTGTCTTGCACCCCCATGTAAGACATTAGTTGCGTGCTTTAAATGCTGTCATTCACATTGCTGGGCGCCATTTATGAATGAATTGCGTTCTTAGGATGACGTCATTTTACCTTTACTTATAAGTTCATAAGCTACTATAAGAAAAAAGTGCGTAATGAAAATATCAGTTTTCGCAATTTCTGTTCTGAAAATAATTGATATGTAATATGCAAGAAAAATAATCAAACAGCGGCTGTTGGTACAGTCGGGAATATCTGCAGTCTAAGCTTCCTTACCACCCTAAACAGTTACCCTCATTTAAGCACAATTTAAATATTCAAATACATGTACCAAGTTATTTAAGTGACTATAGGCCTACAATACAAATTTTATGATTCTTCTGTGATAATAATCAACATTATTTATAAAACTATATAAATTCTTTTTTATAATTTCAGTTCAAGAAAGCGACTTATTCAGAAATTAAGTGATGATGGTGTTCCAGCAAACCAAATAATGCAGATATCAGGGCATAAGAATGTAAATAGTATCAATAACTACAGTAAACTTAACCCAGATCAAAGCAGACAAATATCAGACATCCTGTCCAACAAATCTACATGTACCAATGCAATCAGTTTGGTAAGACCTGCCACAGCTACAGCGAGCAATCCAGCCTCAGCGTTAGAACTTACTCATGGTGCTGCAACTAATTCGAATGGAAATTTCCCACCCGGTTTCTTCATAAATTCAAATATACATGGAAATGTTATTATAAATATGGGAAGCAAGACGGAAAGTCAACAGCTATCGCAAACAAATCATCTTCAATATTCAGGTCATCACACACCTAGCCCAGCATCATCAAATATTGAAAGTCCACGCCAGAGGCCATTTAAACGAATTAGATATGTTGTAGATAGTGACAGTGACTGAGCAGGCTTAATAACCCACAGTCATGACAGTTGTTTGAATAAAAGACTGACTGACAAGTTACATGTATTACTATATTCATCTGGTTACTAATTGCATAACTTGAAAGTGCTTCATGGTATGACTGTTGTAAAATGATGACTGAAACAGTTGTTGGTTTTGTTAATAAGTTAAATTTTGTTAATTTTCATGTTTCATTGTTCTGAGAAAAATTATTAATTAAACACATTTACAGTGAATTTAATGAACTTTTAAATATTAATATAACTTTCAAAAATGTTATTTAAAAATTAATGATCTCAGATCACAATTATATGATAAATTAAATACTTCATATACGTTGTAAATAATATACAAAGAGAAGAAAAATATTAAAATTTGTGCAATTGTTGAAATTGATGTTTGTTTTTGTGAGTTCCAGTTGCAACCCTTTGGTGTTAAATAGAGAGTATTTGTTTGTTTTGCATGTAAGATTAAAATATATTTGACAAAGTGAACATCGGATCAATGCAACATTTTCACAAAAAGTGTTCTCCCCCATATTCATGAATTTGAAAACTTCGCCAAAAACATTTTTCTAGTAATTTCTGTAAATTCCAGAGTTAATTTGTCTTATTGTCGGTAAATTATATTTTATTCATGTTTTTATTTAAAATAAAATTGAACAATAGTTCTTCTTGAATAAATGATAGATAAAAATCATTGTACAAATAATTAAATGCAAAAACATATTTATTACAGTCATGATGCTCTAGAGTTGAAAGTAAAATAAAATTTAATTATTTTCACAGTGAAAAGTGAAATTATGAAAAATAATTTACACTTTTGGCATGATTGTTGGACTTTATCTAAATGCAAATGAAATGAATTATATCATTTATTACTAAATGGAATTATCCAAAGAAATAAATTTGTAAATATTGCTTCTTTAGAAAAAGCAAGTAAATATCATCATACAATGTAAATTATGTTAAAAATGATATTCAAACTTTGATACTGTGATGTAACGAAATCAAATGTTTGACATGGCGCAGCAAATTCAGTAAAAATGTTAAAAATCACTGAAAAAGCGTAAAATAAATAGAAAATGTGTTTGTTTTACATGTAATATTGAAATTTATTTAATTTTACCCATGAAATATGGTGCTATATCAGTCAAATATATTTCATATTTTTAAAAAAAATAAATATGAAAGTGGACGGAGTCAAAACTCATTTATTTTAAGGGAATTTAAGGGACTTCTTTCGCCGTTTTGTTTGAAAAATCTGATAAATACAAAACAACTTTTTCTTGAATTTTGTTTTGAAAACTATCTAGCATGATAGAAAGTGGTCTAACTAAGAAAATTAATCCGAACACCAATATCTTTAATTCAGTAATTAACATTGTACAGACGTTTAAAGAGTTGTTTACATGACGTCACGATGTAGCGCCAAACAGCGCGTGCTTACGCATAAATTACTGCACGCTGTACAATTGCAGTTGGTAGCAAACAAGGGGATTTGTTACCATTTTCTATGATAATGAAATTAAATAAAAAGGTTATTTTTTCGTTTTTCGTGAAATATGGTATATATTTTCACTCAACATGATAAAGTGCCACATATTTTCACTCGCCGTACCGGCTCGTGAAAATATGTGTCACTTTATCATGTTTCGTGAAAATATATTCCATATTTCACGCAAACGAAAAAATACCCTCTTAATACTATTATTTCACTGAGTGAACACCAGTTGCAATATTTTCACAAGTGGTGTCAGGGATTTTTTTGGCTTATTTTATAGCCGTTATTGATCCATATTCCAAATTGATTTGAAAATACTATGTTATTTTCCCAATCCATAGGAAAAGTTACAAAATTAAAATATTGAAAAAAAAATTTACAACTGTGAAAATAAGGGCTTCCAAAAGGAAGTGGCTAACCGTATGGGCCCGTACGGCTAGCTAAAAGTTCTAGCTGTATGTGAGTCACGTACGACTAGCCTAGACACACTGTATTGGCTAGCCGTACGGCACTTTTCAAAATTATATGGAAGTCGAAAATGCATATGTTATTTTGTGTCTCTAAACGATGATTTTAAGCAAATCTCCGCATTTGTCCTAGTGTGTTCACTTTAAAGTTTAATAAAGATCCTCGCAATTTTGCAAAAAAAATAATATGAATACGAACAAGAGTTGTATAATCTATCTTAATAAAGTGTCAAAGTTGCATGTTATAACGTCCTTGATTTTCATGCTTATGATTTGTATGAAAGATGAATTGTTAAATCTGGTAATTAAGCACATGGATCGAATAAATAATTAAAGGAGGGGAATAAATAAAAAAATAAAAAGAATATTAAAAAAAAACGGTGAAAAGGAATTTTAAGTAATTTAATAATGCAAACTTTCCTTAATGATGGACGATGGACAAACTTCTATACCGTCGGTAATTGACGCAATTATCAGAGCCCAACAACAATTAACTTCAGTGTTTTTTTGTTTTTTTTCAATTTTAATAATTAAACTTAATGAAACAAAAAAGGATTATTATCAAAATTTTGTAAACTATTTCAATTGATGTTATTTAACTGCAACCAAACGCTATTTTTTTCTCGACGTCTTGAGATGACAAAGTACATTCTTTACTGTAGCCAACACGTCGATTAATCTCTAAAAACTTTTTTTTTAAAAAAAGTAAACATTCTTCATGATTCTTGACTAAAATCCTCGCTTAAAGTCATAAAATAACATACGCACTTTCGCCTTCCATATATTTTTGAAAAGTGCCGTACGGCTAGCCAATACAGTGTGTCCTGGCTAGTCGTACGTGACTCACGTACGGCTAGAACTTTTGCAAGTTTTGGCTAGCCGTACGGTTAGCCACTTTCTTTTCAATATAGGTGTCAACACAAATTGTCTTTCATACATGTACATGTGTCTTCTTAAATATATGGATAAATAAACTACTTAAACGTAAACTACTACGTAAATAAACTTACTGTCTGTTGACTGATAAGTGTTGTCCAAACAAATACAATACATGTATGATGGCACAGTCCGGCTCTAGCACTGAATTTGATGATTTTAGGTATATTCAAGTACAGTCAAGCAAAAACTGTCAAGTACCAAATACTTCACATAACAGTATATTGTTCGGCAAGTAAACAAATACCCTAATTCTACATTCAGTGCATGAGCTACATGTATTCAACCACATGTCACGTATACTACTAGATCTATAGTCAAACTTTCGGCTGTCCGGTTTTATGAACACTTTCACTTGCTAGAAATATTATAAATAGTTCAATAGATTCATGTTGACAACCAGCCGCTCCTTAACGCTAAAATCCTCCTAATTCCGTGAATTCAGTTAAAATCGCCACAGAACTTCAAATTACACTAGACTTTGACATTTAACAGTTTTTAATTTTCCATCGCTTCACTTATTTCAATATGGCGGCCGATTTTTTTTTTTAAGAATGAACATCCGTAAATTAATTCGCAAAATATGATTTAAAAAAGACGATTAAAACGGTACAAAACTACTGCCTATTCATATGCATACATGTAATACACAATATTTTTTCTAAAATAAATGACTATGATGGTGTTTAATTAAACCGTGCGGTAATTCTTGTCTGCACTATTTTGTTTAGCGTATATGTAATATTTTGTTAAGTGGAAGTCAAATTTGGGGCTCTAAATGGGAGGAAATATGCAAATAAAACCCGGAAAAAGCATTTACTTCGGTAAAATAAACCGAAAAAGCATAGAATAAAAAGAAAATTTGTGTTTATTCTGTGTAAGATTGAATTTTATTTCATCGAGTTAGAATCAAAAACAGTATTCTGTTTTTGATTCTCACTCGATGAAATAAAATTCAATCTTACACAGAAAAACACAAATATCTTCTATATATGGAATATTATATTTTAAATTTTATTGTTCAAGATAGGGAAATATCAAACCAAACCTTAATGGTGTGTGGTATGTTTTAAATAACTTTGTTTGTGTTTTATTTTTTAATGCCGAAACCTTTGTTATATAAATCTGGATTTTTTTAAAGTGTTTAGTAATATTAAAAAAAACATATCCATCGTAACATCGGCGTTGGACTGACAAGATGAGGAAATGCATATTATAGCATTGAGGGCAATTCATGAAATAAAAAGAGGTCACTGTAGAAATGGGTTGTCGCTTGACTCACGTAGTCGAAAGACTAGCTTTTTTACCTTAAATGTTTCAGATACTGAATTTAAATGCAAATGTAACATGTTCTGTTTGTCAAATAAGAAAAGACTTACTACTGCGAAAGTTAAAAGTTGGAAATTATTCAATTATATCGACTAGTATATTGTAACAGTAACGTGTTTAATGATTTTCGAAACATTATCCCAACAAACACAATTTTGGTTGGATCCCGTGAGTTAAACATATGCTTGAAACAGTTTCTACAATGCAAAATTTAAACAGTTATGTTTGCTAATTTAACCTATTATTTTTTTTTATATATGATAATATGAAAAGAGAAATATGTTAGGATAAATACAAGATTTTATTTTCTGCACATACGCTTGTTGGACTTGCTACACTATTAGACTTGCTGCACTATTGGACTTGCTGCACTTCTTTGACTTGCTGCGATCCTTAGACTTGCTGCGCTTCTTGGACTTGCTTTTTTCGAAATCAATTTTTTTTTCTTCTTTTTTTTATTTCCAATTTCATTTTATATAAATACACAACGCGCGAAACGGATAGAACGCCACAATTGTATCGTCACGTCAAAACAATAAATAATACAAAATGGCGGACATTTGTGTTTCTTTTCATAAATGAAATGGCTATTTTGACAACCGGTTAATATTGATATCAATGATGTTAAAAATATCCTTTAAATAAATGTAATTTGAGTATATGACTGATAATAATGTTATATAATAAAAACTGTATTATATTTTTTCTTAAAACTGAATCAGATTTTAAAATATTTTGTTAGATTACTTGATAAGCCTTTAAACTCCGATGTTTCCCAGAAGCTTATGCAAGAAATACTGCTCTCATTGAATAGATTCGGTTGATGGAGATAATAAATAACATGATTTTGTAAGATCGTTTAATGGTTTGTATCACGTAAACTAAATTAAAATTTTATATTTTTCTGTAGTTAAAATATGTATGTAATTTGTATTTAGAAAAAAAATCGGATTGCGAAGTTATCACGTGATACATGCATGTATCACGCACGCATTTCAGGTTAAAACTCATAACAGATAACAGTTATATTGTATACGTTTTTTCTCCCTCTATGCAAGCATCAAACACATTGATAAATTCTTTATCAGTTTGTATGATAATTTAACTAATATTTCTCTATTTTGTCTTCCAAAAAGAATCTACACA